ATTTTTTTCATTTTTACACAAAAAGTCCATAAGAGGTTTCCAGTCACCAATAAATGTAGATAATGTCTTTTCTCTAATCAAAGAAGTTTTGCCATCTCAGCAAGATTTGTCAATTTCACCAACCATTCCTCCATAGCGGGTAGTGTTGAATCTTTCCACCTCTGTGCTTACAATAATCTTGCCACAGTACTCATATACTGAAATAATCTTCCATGGCTTTTTTCTAACTGTTTATCCATTAATCCTAAAAGGAAAAGTTCTAACTGCAATTGAATATTAATTTTTAAAATCCTCTCTATGAAAGTATGCATTTAAACCCAATTTTTTTTTAGTTTTTTGACACGTCCACCAAGCATGATAAAATGTCCCTTCATGTTGTTCACATTTTCAACATACATTTGAAGTGCCTTTATGCATTCTACATAATTTCTCTGGCATCCTGTACCAACAATACATTAATTTATAAAAATTCTCTTTGAGATCATAAAACAGTGGAATTTCTGAAGCCGCCCAACCATCGTTCCCTTGTTGCCTTTGAAAGTCTATCGTGAGCTCTGATGGTGAAAGCAGAGCAAAGCAATTTTCAGTAGCTGTAATATGATTGCATTTGCCACAGTAGACAGAGGGAAGGAGAAGGGGGGAAATAAATTGTGAGTCCTTCGATCCATGGGACAGGTAAAATGAAAGAAACAGCCCAACCCTTTGCCCCTGAAGAAGAGATGGTTGATCTGAGGAAGTTGGCCTGCAGCCCAAAGAACTCCCAAACCAGTTTATGCCCCTTCACAGAATAATTCGGGCTGGATTGTACAGTGGAATCAGCAGGATGAAGTGGATTTTGTAGTAGTAGACACACACATACAGACACACACACACACACAGATAAAAATCTGTTGCGGTGGAGGAGGACCTGTGAAGCTCAGAAGCCATCTTTCCCCTTTAAGGACCTATGAGCAGAATATTGTATCAGGCAGTTGGATGAGGGCAGAGTTCTAACCAAAGGAGAAAGAGCTGCTTATAAGGTCTGCTGCACAGAGTTTTAACATAGCAAATGGAACTGGGGGACTTTTTGCAATTTTAGATGCAACTGAGCCAGAAATAAATCGGCTCACTTGCTGAACACAGTAGTATGGAGCTAATTCTAGGACTTGGGGGATGTTTTTGCAGTCTTAGATGCCACTAAGTCAGAAATGAATCCGCTCACTTGCGGAAAATAGTAATATGGAGCTAATTTTGGAACGGTGCAAACCGTCTATGCGGAAGTATCTTGAGCTATAAACAGATTGAACAAAACTGCAACAGTAAAACTAACCATTCATAAAAAGAGGGTTACAGCAGGCTCAATCAGGCCAGGTTGCAAAGAAGATGTGAGGAGCGTAGGAGTATCTGGAGATTGCTGAACTACAACTTCCATAGCCAGGGGTTTAGTTCAGCAGCATCGAACATAGATATCTTGTACAAGCCACAGTGATGTGACTGTGACAAAAACTCCAGCTCTGCATCCTGATGTCAGATACAAACATTTACAGAAAGTCTCAATGTGCTTTTCCTCATTTGCCCATCGACCCCACACACCCCTAAGCATAGGTCCCCTTCCATTCCTAAGAATATAAACCCATCAGGTTGAAATGCATGGAGTGTGTCGGTGTCTTTGAGCGTGTGAAATATACCTGGGCAGATTTTGAAAAAGGATGCAGAGGACGTGCTGTGGACCATTGGCAAGAGCAGCAGCTCTCTGCTGCTCATTAACGCAGCTTTTTTGCAACTTCCACTTGAGCCAGAAGAAAAGACGCTGCTGCTTTCTGCAGTCAGCTCATTAAAGTTAATGTGGCTTTAAAAGCAGCCACAGTATGAAAATTGGGTGGCTTTAATTAATGGTAGTGGGAGGCTCTATTCATGCTCTTATTCGGTCAGAAGCATGTCTTCCAAACCATTCAGCAAATTTAGGTGGTTGGCACCTAACATTCTTAATAAACTCTCCTTCCTCTTTCCATCTTTAAGATTCTGGTCTGCTCTTCTTTTATTTTTATTTTTGGCGTGGCCTCCAGCCATCAGGTTCCTAACAGGTTTCTCTACTTCATGACACTCCACTTTGCAGGACTGTAGGAGGCTTTCCAATATTGTTTTTCATCATGATTACTTGGAAAGCAGAACCATCAACTTCCAGTCCTGGAGCAGATCAGGCACATGATACAAAATCCAGGTTCTGTTGATGTCAGGGATGAAGGCCTATTTTTAAAAATGAATATTGGCTCACAAAAACCTCAGTGTGTTTGTAGACTCCATGCAGTCACTCTGGTTGATCAGGAACCGCACATCTCCACTTCTGAAGACAGCATAGGAACAAGAATAATCATCGGTTACTGCCATATGACTCCGAAGGCCATGTCACTTCAGGACCCGGCACAGCCGCTGTGCTCAAAACCGATCTGCAATCTCAGTTTGCCTTGGTGTATGTTGAATGCAACGACAGTGCCTTAATGCATGGTTCTCTTTGTCCTATTTGCCAAGAACCCTAAGCATTGCCCTTTCCCCCCAGTCCAGCCATGGGTTTATATTATTCACTTCTGGCTTATGGCAAGAGGTCAAATCCAAGAGATTTCTGGCTACTTAGCATAACCCTCAGGAAGAGACGTTTTAGACACTACAAATATTTCTCCACAATATTATTCTTATGCTTCTAATATGGATCAGCCTGCATTTCAGGCCTTCCTTAAAGTGAAGCCTTCTGACTGAGGAACATTATCTCAGTGCACTTGCTCAGCGAAAGCTATCAACTCAACATTGCCAGAAGAAGAACTGTTACCAAATATTGCACTGTCAATGCTTCTATTCAGTCTTCTAGCCAGGGGTCCACTATGGCCTTCTCCAGAATCCTTCACTCCATTTCACTTCCTCCCCAGTTTTCCACCTTCCATTTCCAGCAGTTCTTCAGCTTTCCAGGGCCACTGAGCATACTCCATCTTCACTATTAGGGCTATTTTGAGATTGCTCCTCCTGTTTTGACTTATAATTATAAGGTTTTGATTCCTAGACACTGGAGACTGTTATGTAAACAGTCAGCAGTGGAGTCCTTGGGGTTCTCCAAGCTTGGTTGTTTTCTTGCAGACATTGTGTTACCCATCTAGGTAACATCTTCAGTGCTAGAAGTTACCTAGATGTTACCTAGATGGGTAACGAAATGTCTGCAAGAAAACAACCAAGCTCAGAGAACCCCAAGGACTCCACAATTCAACCCTGAGCTACAGATATTCTCTTCTATTGGTAAACAGTCAGCTGCCCACTTTCCCATTATCAGTGAAGGGACCCAACTTACTATCTTACTGGGTCATAGAAAAGAAAGAAAAAAAAGTACATACTTAAGTAGTCAGGTTCTTTGGGAAAACCTGATCGATACCTTGTTATTGATCTCCCAAAGCCCAGAGAACCTGCCTACTCTGCAAATCTGGCTATTCCCTTCCAAGGAATTCTTAAAAATCAGAAAATCTATGCCCTAATCTACTTGTGGATAAATTGGTTTTAAATAGGGAACAGCTCAGTGGGTGGAATTCTTGTTACCCCATCCCTTTCATTTTCATAAACCTAGCTAAAGAAAACTCTGAGAACCCTGCTTGGAAAAGATTTGCTGCTGAAAAGCCTGACATTAAGGATCAACATTCAGCTTTGCTTTTTTTTTTTTTTAATCTCTTCCTTCTTTTTTTTCTAGATCCTCAATAGATCCAAAAGAAGCCCTCAAGTTGCAAAGAGGACAAACAGGAAGTGATCTCAGAAGTCCTCTGTCTCATAAAAGAATGTTTCCATTCCCAGTTTCCTCTTTTCTTGTTTGGTGCTCATGGGCTTAATCCCTCTTACTTCCCTTATTCAGATGGATTCAGGCATACCTTGGAGATATTGAGGGTTTGGTTCCAGACCACTGCGATAGAGTGAATACCGCAATAAAGCAAGTCACACAAATTGTTTGGTTTCCCAGTGCACGTAAAAGTTATATTTACATTATATTGTAATCTATGAAGAGTGCAGTAGCATTATGTCTAAGGAAATAATGTACGTACCCTAATTAAAAAAATTGCTTAACATAAGACAACAGTGAAGTTTGCCACATCGACTGACTCTTCCTTTTGTGAAAGATTTCTCTGTAGCCGGCGATGCTGTTTGATAAATGCAATATCTGCGAAGTGCAATGAAGCACAGCACAATAAAATGAGGTATGCCCATCTTCCTATATCGTTGAAAAGAAAAAAAGGAAGTGTGAAAGATACTGGAGAGGAGGGGAATACAATCTGGCCAACCCTCTAGCCCATATATGCAAATTCAGAAACAATTGTGATCATTTAAATAGAAAAATAATACATTTTAATATTGTGAGGAAGACGGGGGCCTGCTGATCTGTACCCTTAAAGTGGCCTGGTGGACAGTTGAGTAAACCCAGGATTGCAAGTGGGTGTCTATGGACACAGCGCGAGGGTCTCAAAAATCTGTAAGATGTGTCACAATTACCATCTTGCATATTTTGACACTCCCCTCAGATGCCCCCAAGATGTCCTGGGCTCTTTACTCTGAAATAATTTTTTTTTTAATTTAATTTTTTTAGAAAGCCAGACAGTGCCCACGGGACTCAAACTGCCAGTAAGTAGCAACTGAAGCAGACAAGAATGTCAGTGTGGAGGAACGTTAGGCTAAGCTGCCTCACTATGAAATGCATTTTAAAAAATCACTAAAACCCCAAACTCCCTTAAGGTTTCAGGCAAGAACAAGTGGGTTTTTAGCAGTCTTAGGCAAGATCACACAAGATTTCCGAGTTGAAATTCCATGGGTTTGGGGGACTTTAAACATTGTTATTTGATTTTGGGATCCCCACGTCACTGTAAAAAATCATATATTAGTGCTTAGCCACTAAAACAAACTCCTAAGTCCCTGAAAGGGAGAACAGTTCTCTGTAAAGTAGGACACACAATGTTACTGTGTGAAAAAAATAACCCCAAACCCCTTCGGGAATGCCTCTGAATGGGCAAAACTGTTTCCCTGCCTCGAATGGAAAGGATCATTCAGCTTTTCCAGTGTGCTGGACTGACTCCGTATCAGGCACTCTGTATCACTGTGAAAAGCTATTTTCACTCACGAAACAGAAAATCTCCTTGTTTCTCCCTGTGTTTCTCCCTGTTTCGAGTAGCACAGATAGCAAAATGCTCATTTCAATAGCCGATGATTTGCTATTCTTCCTTGACCCCAGTGCTGTTGCCCAAGGAAGTTTCTTCACCCTGCCCAAGGTTAGGGCCAGCCCCAAAAGGCAGGTAACGCACCAGTAGAGGTTGCATTACTGTACATTTTAGCACAAATTAAAAGTCATTTGCAGAGGCTTTTGTAAAAGCAACTGGGCTGAATTTATGTCTCTTAATCACGTTCTCTGTATCAGCTTCCAGAATTGCATCCTTGTATTTATTCTGTGGGTGGGTGGCTGTAAATATGTTTACCAAATAAAGAATCATGTTTTTCTAGAGCACGTATGTTTACTGTATTTTCACTGCTTGCTCTGAACTGCTTTGTGTCTCTATATTTAGGAGAAAAGACACTATAAATGCTTTAACTGACTCCATATAGTCATCTTTGCTTATATTCTACATTAAAACACCTTATACAGCTGCCTTCCCAAGCATTCTGCTTTCTAGATATGTGGAATTGCAATTCTCAGTGTCCCCCAGCATTCCATTATAGTTTTTTGGGCTGATAAACGTAGAGGTCAAGACCTCTGGTGGATATTACGTTGGGGCAAGACGGATCTAATCGGTTCATAAATCTCACATGGCTTCTCCGGCTTGGTTTTCAGTTCTGTAAAAGAACAATGAAGGTGATAGATACGGTGAAGGTCATGATTTCCCTTTTTTTTTTTTTCTGGAAAGAAACAGAAGCGAGAGTTTCCTCTGATGCAACTTTTCATTTGACTAAAAAGTTGCATCTGCTGGAACAGCCAACCAAAGGCACTTGCGTTCATTTGCTTGGAAGTAAACTTCATTAAACTCTGAAGGATATACATTTGAGTAACCATATGATGTATGGAGATTCACAATCCGTGGCCAAGTCCTCTGTGTATTCTCTCTTGAATGGCATCATGCTTTACCCATACAGTGCATGACGTCTCAAATCTTACATTGCAAATGGTTGCTTCAGTTCTGCTTTCTGGGGAAAAAAAGCCAAAGAAGACTGTAATGAACTTCCACTTTAGAAAGATGGAAGGAGAACTCAGGAGCTCCATGCTTGCAGCTTCTGCCATTATAACCACTAGTTGGTGAGAAACATCTTCCTTAGAAGCTTTGTTCAGGTGTTTGAATATTCAGAGGGCACAGGGGAGAAGAAGATGCCCAGCCCAGTCTCTTTTTCAACTAATGGCATTCAACGGAATGGGAATGCTATGATTTGCATGACCAGGAACCCTGTGTGATCAAAAAACACTATAGGCTCATCTTCACATCCCACTCATGAAGGTACAGAGATGCCCTGCTAGTTGTTTTTAGAGGACATCTAAGCCCACCGTAGAGGCCAACTACATTCATCCTTAGCTGTTCAAATTTACATAATGATTTTCCTCTTCTCTCAACACAGTCTTTTCTTAGAAACATTGGAAGATGCTTCACTGACAACGTTGATAGAAATGGTGACAGAAGCTCAGATCTGCCCAACTCCCATTGGCCATTTTCAGGTGCTATAGGCCTGATAGCTCTGGTTTCCCCTTGTAGTGCATCTCAGAGGTCTGACGATACTGGAAAGGAAAATGTGGCCAAAACGAACCTGGATGATAGATCAGTGGGATGGAGGATGAGCCTGGGATGAAGCAGGAGAGAGCTGTCTTGATGCTTGGTGTCAGCTCCTTCCTGCTTCATCCTGCCCTCTCCTCCTCTTTCCTGATCTCCCAGCCAGGCAATATTTTGTTTTTCAAAAGACTGATAGATCCATGTCCAGAAATGGCTTGAGTGATAGATTATCTGTCACTCAGGCACCTTGAAAGATGAACCAAAGCCTCTGTCCTAGGGAACTGTCCATACTTGCCCAAGTCTGCCCCACCACAGTTTAAGGAGGATGATTGGTGGTGGCTTTTCCTACTGGGTGGTGCTGCTGTCTGGGAAGCTTCACTACTGATCCAGATTATTCATTGTTCATTAGGGTAATACAACTTATGCTAGTGTACTTTTCTGCTCACAGTAATGTGGCTGAACAAAGGCACAGTCTAGGTCAGTGTTTCTCAACCTTGGCAACTTGAAGACGTGTGAACTTCAACTCCCAGAATTCCCAGCCAGCCATGTTGGCTGGGGAATTCTGGGAGTTGAAGTCCACACATCTTCAAGTTGCTAAAGTTGAGAAACCTTGGTCTAGATACTAGGATGAGATGAGTCCTCCTCATTGAGCCCTTGAAGTCACAATCAGCGTTTGCACTTGTAGGCAATTTTGATATATCCCTATGCCACTGGCATGCATCTATGGATAGGAAATAGGCTGTTTCAAGGCAGTGAAAGTGGCAGTGCACCACTGTCTTGCACCTTGGTTTTCTTGGAAGAGATTCTTGTCCCACCCTGCCTTGCAGTTTCTGGTACTTCTTTATAGCAGTATGCAGACAAGATTAGAAACACAAATGCAGAACTGGTGGCATGCTAGCATTAGGAGTTTGGAAGACAACAGAGATTTGCTACCATGACAAACACAAAGGCACACACTGGGAGGCCCACAGTTCTCTTAGCTCAGCTATTGGCCAGAAAGGGCAGGCACTGATGGACTGGACCTGGCAGTTCTCTGCTGAGTGTATAGATTCACAAACACACAGTATAATAAACATGCCCATGTTCCTAGTGTCCTGATGTCCACATAGATTGGAAATTAGTCAACCCAGCCTGTTTAAATTATGTTCAGGAAGGTTGAAGAACAGAAAGACTAGTCATCTGGAAGACCTTTGCGACTCCCTTAAGCTTTAGCATTTTCTGGTTGTTGTTGTTCAGTCGTTAAGTCGTGTCCGACTTTTCGTGACCCCATGAACCATGTCACGCCAGGCCTTCCTGTCCTTCACTGCCTCCCTGAGTTTGC